AATCTCCCCCCTTTCTTCCTTTCTTCAACATCTAGTAGCCGACTAAGTACTATATTCATGGATAAGGGCTGCATGTTATCTGGGTAACTCTACGCTGCCCTGTATAATACATTGGCGGTCCACTCAAGCCCTTAATCACCACAGATTCCCTTCCCGAAAACAACGGCGTCTCAACCGTAAGAATATGAGATCTAGACAGAGTACCACACTCAATCTTCCCCATACAATATTAGCCCGTTCCGATTTCCTTGACCGTAACAGTTCCCGTTTTAATACACTTTGCTTACTGGAACTGATACGCTGAACGGTCTAGAGCAGCTATTTTGTCAGCCTCACTTAAAATCCTATTCAGTTCGCAAATAGCGATTTCTCGGACACTCCCAGGCAAGTGTCCTTCCGGGGCCCGCAAATACATCGTTTGAAACTCGTCGTTTCGTTTTCATATACTAGCTTAGGTCGACGACAATGATCCTTTGCCCGAACATATTTTTTATTCATTCATTTTGATCCTTTTCTTGAGCGGTACGGTAAAATTTCGAGTACCCAGATGAGACGTACAGCTGTTCGTCGTTTTCCGTTCCCTATTCGGTTTCCCGATGCTACAGGGAATTATTTCTGGTCTATCGAAATGCGTGCGAGATACATGAGCGCTCTGATCTTGACGCACTATCAAGGGACTTGTATACTATTCTCTGATCTCTGTGATCCGTTGCGTTTTCATGGAGGCAATGAATACAATATGATTTAGCGACGGTCTACCTTCTCTCAACACCCTTAGAACCGCTCTGAATGGTCTCGATGACCCACTTGAAGCCGTTCCCGCTGACATGGCAATGTGAGTACTGAGGGAAATTTCAGATGGCATTTACTTATTGTAATTTTGGATTAACTCCACACCCTTTGAACAAAACACTGCTCGGACGGTCTCCGGAAAGAGACCCGGTTTGCAGGTCATTACATCGTTGCCATACACCACCCTCTCCTCTATAGCGATTACATTTTGCGCAATCGCGAGCTAGTAACACGAGTGCACAATGCTCAGGGAGACATGGATACCGTAACATAGCAAGGGTGCAATAAACAGTGGGCGACCCGCCCCCAAGAAAGCATGCAATCCGGATGTTTGACAACAAATATGAGTATAGTATAATACAGCGAGTACAAATAAAACCTAGGTGAGCAAATGATTGTGGAGATAGAACGGATACAATGTGTTACAGTCAAAGAATGCGCGTAGGGAACGTAGGTGTATTAAACAGTGCGGTGTCGTATTGTGTAATGTCCATGTAATATGTCCATCCAGACAGATTGGAAAGCATCGCTTGCGTGCCAAATGAGAGAGTTCATGATCGAGGTCTGAAAGCAGAGCAGAGATAAATCTAGAGGCCAGCCTTGTGGAGTGTCGTCAGAGGATCATGGCAATACACCGTCGCGGTTTCATTGGCGAGACTGGAGACCCCGCTGCACAGTACTCGATTTGGAAAGGAAGGTGTATTTTAGACGTTTGGGAAGCCAGCGGAGAGCAGAGGATAATTTGGTAGTGCGCTGTGGAATATCTTTAGGATGGACTAGAGCAAGTAGAGATCTTCGTCAACGAAAACCAGCCCTGGTGAAGACACATAGGCTTACCGGGAGGAACATAGACAGCAACAGATACAGTATTGTCAGATGAAGATGCATCATCGACTGTTTCGTCAATCATACGCTCCAGCTCAGCGTCGTAGAGCTCGTGGAAGTGAGTAGGGTGAGTAACAATAACGTTGACGACGTCGTCTTGCCTATTCGTACTGGCCACATCGGAATGATCTGAGCAGAGGCGTGCATAGACTTGGTCGTTGCAAGGTGGCAAGGACGTTATCTGCAGGGAGGCAAAGTTGATGGCGGCCACTGGGGACGACGTAAAGTCGGGGACGAGAAATCTACAGAAAGGATTAATGACCAAACAAGACCTAGCACTACAAGATATCTACACGCACGGAGATTTAGGGGGCCCAACCTCAGTACCATTGATGCCAATCCGCCAATTATCAATCAAAGAAAACTTTCTGGGATTGACGGGAGAGGCACATTCGTCGATGACCTCTATTTCTTGCACAGGTTCATCAGTGAGCTCGTAATCACTTTGAAATTGGTGATTTAGTACAGCAAGTACCATGAGAGGAACATGAACATACTCTCGAAGCATGGAGCAAAACTCATCATAAGTCTTGAAATCTTTTTGGGGACGAACGTTGTCAACTTTAGTTAACTGGCTGGAACTGCCAGAGCATGACCTAACGGTCATCATGGGTAACTCAAGGCGGAGTCCTGGGGTACGGCGTCCGAAGTAGATTCCTTCTTCTCCAGAAGAATAAGAGGTGCGACCAGCATCGTAGGTGACATGAGTAGAGTTTGCCATGATAAGATGGGAATGAACGACTAGGAAAAACTGAAGAAACTAGCAGAATAATGGAAGAGATACGACCAGCGACTGGAGGAGATGAACCTAAAGTCCAATGCGGGTATATTTTGTCGGCTGCTTGCTTTATACATCGTGTGTGTACAAGCTGAGGACAATAAGATTGTTGGTTCCAGAGAAAGAACAATGGCAGAATAGAAAAAAGAACAAAAGAGATCGGCAGGCGTTTGCCGTCTCCACGCGTCATAAAGGCACGTGATCGCTGCTTCTGCCGGCGGGAGTCGGGATGATGGATCTCTAAAAGCATTTACTAGTAGGATACATTGCGGCACTCAGCCAAGCACGGTTGACGACTTGAGGCACGACAATTCTAATCAGATTTCAACCAATCAGAACCACCTAATTTCGTCGAGAACCCTAGCTATTTGGAGGGTACTCCAGGGTACCCAGTGATGGAGTACCCTCACAGCACTCCGACACAATATTAGTATAGTAACGCGTACCATAACGGTCTCACCGCCGATTTGGTCTTTGCATTTGCCTCCTCTCTGTGTCCACAATTTACTCCCAATGAACTCTCCTCGAGAAGAAGCTGTTCAATTTGCGAAAACGAGCAAAAGAGAGAACCGAGTTTATGTCGCAAACCTGAATTACGAAATCAACTATCAGGAGCTCACAGAATTTATGAGTGCTGGTGAGTGTTATTCTATGTTGTTGAATCAGTGTGTCATACTCAACGAATACGAAACAATATAAGCCGGTGAAGTTTTATTCGCAGAGATCATGACAACGTACGCTGGGACCTCCAAAGGATGCGGGTAAACACTATCTTTTGAGCTTTTAGTTTAGATGAAAGCCAATCCTTCATAGCCTCGTCGAATATAAAAGTAAAGAGGATGCTCAACGAGCGATTAGAGAATTGTCCGATATGTCTCTCCATGGTAGATTGGTATGGATACGAGAGGTGAGTAATACCATAACCATAGCCTAAGGCGACCGTATCTTAATCTGGTTGAACGTTAGGACAGAGAAGCTGAATCGCGATTTGGTCAATCGCACCCACCCAACAAACTAGATCCCCAATCATACAGCTTGTCAGACAGGCTTCGCTCTCCACCTTCATATAATGACGTCGAGGTATCACTAGTGCCCCTAGGTCAAAGCTCAGCAACAGCGAACCAGCTATTCGTTGGAAATGTAAGCTTTATTTGTCCTATACCAACTCGTATATAAATCAAGTCGTATTAGATTCCCTTCCAGGCATCATGGCAAGACCTGAAAGACCTTTTCCGGACTTCTACCTCTCCTGCCTTCCCTGCCGGTCTTTGCCCAGCACGGGCAGACATAATTTTCGGTGATGGTAAGTAAAACGTACCTCTCATGTCAAGAGTTTAATTTTAAACTAAGTTACCAAAGATGGTCGCTCGAAGGGCTACGGAATTGTTTCATTCTCCACTGCCGAAGAGGCTCAGAAAGCGATCGAGTTATTCGATGGCTATGAGTGGTATGGGAGAGTAATCGAAGTGAGAGAAGTCAGTACTCATTGTGTACTTTTGATCTATAAACTCATGTATACATTTCTACATCGATAGGACCGCTACGCTGGCCTTACAGGATCCATTAGGTCGTATGCCAATGATAGAGGCCGTCATAGGGGATACCGGGGATCTCACCGGGGAGGACTGAGAGGAGGAAGAGGGTTCCGACTCCAACACTCAGGCTCGGAACTAGCATTATCGTCGTAGGGGGTTCTGTTGAGTGTTGAATTTGGGCTTAGAGGTTGGTGTTTTAACGCTGATGTACGAACGATTGTGTGTTAGCGCGTGTAAAGTTTATTTCGGTTATCCCATCTGATTCCTATTCTTATCTTCTCAACTAACACCCGGTTAGAGCTTCAGGCCTTGATATGTACTGCTATCATTAGACCGACGACGAACAACAACTTACGTGTAGGCGCCCAGTTCCCTTTATCCTTGAAATGAGACGGCCTTGTCTAAAGTTCTATAGCTATTGAGTTCAGGTTTTAGGTACAAATGGGTAATAAGAGTTGCAAAGATGTAGGCTACCAACTTCTAGCCATTGGATCCCTCGGAGAGTTCTCCGCAAATACACAAGCGACCAATTGTTATTGGCCATTGAACTCAACAAATGCTTCCATTATTATTCTACAACATAATAAAGCTACAAATGGATATTTACCTTATCCATGGTCCAGGAATCTCAACATTCATCTCGAGTTTGCACTTGATAAAATAAATATCCTTCTTTTCCATGACCTCCGCCCCCCAAAGGCCATCAGTTTCGAATAGGACGCGATAAGTATGCTAGGACAAGTATGAATTGGGCAGTCGGAATGTTCAACAGGATAGAACCTACATTAAGGTGTATCTGTTCTAAATTTTTTGAAAAGAAAAAAGGGTCGGTGGGGTCGTTCGGAGAACCCATACCCCTCGGATTGTATTGCGTTTTTTCTCCGCTAAGGCCCATTCACAACATCAGTTAGAAATAGATTTTTGATCCGGCAGTATCATTGACCTTCTTTTGGTATAAATGCTGCTTCCCAGTGCACAGAAAGATTGACATAAATCTAATCTTTATCATAGTCACTTTGCCGGAGTGGTTAACGGGATGGCCTGCTATGCATCTAGCCATTGGGCTTTGCCCGCGTGTGTTCGAATCGCACAGGTGACGATTATTATTTTCTTTTTTGCGCATTGAGAGTTAAAGAGATATCAGTATTCTTAAAATACCCATGAATACTTTTACCGAATCCAATGTCAGCCTAATAATTCTCGTATGATCTCGAATTGGGAAATACAAAGGTGGCACAATTAGATGTCAAATAAATTACAGTTCCAGTAAATATCCTGAAGTAAGAACTACCGTCTTCCACCTCTCTCGGGAGCAATCGATATTCCACGTTCTCTAGTTTTCGGAAAACAGTTTGCAATCTTTTCTATATCTGTTTCTTTATCAATCAGACGCCCGAACCGCTCAAGAACTATCCTGATTTCCTTCAAAGGTAGTGATTCAGGCAGAGCGGACAGTACCGAGTCTAAGTGCTGAAACTGTTCGAGTACATGCCAATCTAGAATCTCAGCATGGAGGGATAGATGGTGAAGACCACGCGGAAGTGCAGAGAGTAATGTAAGGATGAATGCTATCTGGTGAGTCCAGCCATGACGAATATTGAGGCCTCGGAGCTCCAAACGTCTAAGTTCGGTTACGTGTTGCAGATAGTTCATAGTCGTGAGGCCAGTGAACAAAACTAGCCAAAAAATCAGTATTCGCATAAGTAACGGATGAAGGACTACTTACAGTCACGGATATCCAAACATAAGGAAGTAAGAGATTCCGGGCAGCAGGCAAGGATTTTGGAACAATTTCCACCTTCTTCTGAAGCCCGAGCCGGAATCGGCTTCATTTGAGTGCTGAGGTCAAGTTCTTTCAGCTCTGAAATATCAAAAAGGGAACGCGGATCAAAGAATAGATCGTCCAATAATCTATCATCGGGATTTCGGTACTCTAGCGTTGTCAGACGAGGTCTATCATCAAAAGGTGTATCCATCATGACGTCTGTGTCGGTGTACTGTTGAATATGGATAGATACTAATCCTAGACGGTGGAAGTGGGTGTGCCGACTGAGAGACGAAAGGATGTGTATAACCTCCGATCGGCTGTTGAGACTAACACCAATAAGGCGAAGAGACTCCAGAGAGAAATTGTTTTTGAGAAGCTCGGAAAGTGATGCTGCGTCGACTTCGTAAGACGATCTAGCACGACTACTTCCTAGTTCAATTTCCTTGAGTGTCGTAAAGGGAAGCTGTCCGAATGGAAGAAGACGGTGAATCGTGTCTTTGAGAATCCAATTTGTCCGAGTAAAAGGTCCCTCGCAAATGGTTAGCTTTCTTACTAAAGCCATAACTTCGCGAGATAGTCCAGAATCCTCAAATTCTAGGAGGGGTTGAATTCTCTGCTTGAATCCGTCAAGGGTCTGATCACCAGGATTGGATCTCAGAGTAATATCATGAAACAGGTATTTCCGAGCTCGAGGAAGAAAAGACTTGCAGACTAAACTGCAAGACTGGAGTGTGGATGTGAATTCCAGAGGGTCGTCGGAATTTTCCCGCATGAACTGGACCCAGTCTATCAACGTATCGATGAGCTCTTGAGGAAGTGAAAATTGAGTCAGTTTTCTGTCCATGTTTATACACTATGCTTGGTTCAGTACAATACTAGACGCAAAAGCTAGCAGTACCTACGCAGAAAAACGATGATGACGGGACAAACCAAGCACCATAGCAACACGTGTACAGCGCCTACAATTCAAACTCCGAAAGCTCCGCTACTCAGAACCGACTAGTTGAGGCCGCCTAATTTCAAATCAAAGCGTATCGCGAATACTTAAAATCTCGCAGTAGCAAAGCCAACTCTGTACTTCAAAGTATCATCAATATTTCACGATACAACTCGACCGCCATGTCCGAAGTCACCAGTCAACCTAACCCATATCACAATCTTAACATTCCACCCGTGATTTAAAGGCAGGATCTTTACGTTTCACTTCAGTTTGAACGAGTGGATAACCACATAATAGCATGTTGGAGATGACCGCAACTATAACTCTAAATCGACTCTTTCCACCACTGCTCCGGCTGACCCATTTCTACAATCCCTTCCCCGATCAGAGCAGGAAACACGTCGTGCATACTCAACCTTTCACTTCTTCCTTTGTACAACCTTCTACTGCTTTCCAATCCCATAGCCCCAACACTGATTATAACCTTCTGCACTGACGGCACCAGCTGAAGAAATCGCGAAAGAGCTGTCTGGGGTGACGTGTTCTGGGATGACATCAAAGAGGGAGATTCCTCGAAGTCCAGATAGAGGCGAACGACTCTGCATATAGTGCAGGATGAGGCTAACGAAAGGAATTGTAATAGTTGTTCGAGGTCTTCAATCTTGGATAGAAGAAGCTGCAAAACGGAGACTTTCGATAGGCTTTCAGAAACACCGCTCTGGGTGTATTCCCTCGCTGGAATAAAGTACTCTCAGCAAAAGCACAACACGCCATGAAGAGGCAACGCGTACCTGATGTAGATGAGAAATCCAGAGTCAAATGCCAAAGAGCCTCCGAGCACCCCTTCAAAATCTTAATGCAACTACGCGTGTCGATGTCCAGTAGAGCTAAAGACCGCATCTGGCTCAAATCAAACTGCCGCGCTACATAACCAATCTTATTTGGGCTACAGGATGCGATGCACATTCTCTCCACTACTGGCTGCTTCCTTCCATTGAGAGAATTCAGATGGTTGGTTGTTCGAGACTCTGGATCTTGGCCAATCCTGCCGTCAACCCATCCAGACCTCCAATGGACGTCCCCAATTCCATTTACGACCAGTGTCTTCAGCATCTTTGCTCTCACGGCGACGCAAGAGAGCAGCATTTGCCACGGTCCACTGTCAATCTGGACGCTGTTTAAAGAAACGTGTTCAATGTAAGGATTGCACCGGATGATGGACATGAGTCGTTTTAGACGGAAATCCTTGGTGTCGACAATCTCGATGTCTCCACAACAAATGCTGAGGAAGCGTAATTGGGTGAAAGGAATTGTATGAGGTATGGAAGGTTCTGTTGGGTCATTGCCCTGTTTGCCTGTCGTTCGAGTGACTGGAGGGCTTTGGGGATATGTGATGTTAAGCGACAGCCCTCGCACGCAAGCCACGATGTTTGGGTTCGAAAAAGAAGTCGTAAATTCGTTCGCCGACACGCAGCGGGGCATATGTTTATTCGTTGCAAGTCGGGACATTCCCAAGCCTGTGTCGAGTGCATCCTGATCAATGACATTAAGTGCTATGTGCCGGAACAGGTGATGCCTTGAGCGGGGAAGCCAAGACCGACGGACTAAGGAACAAGACGCCAATGTCTCTGCCGAGTTACTTAATTCATCGATTATTAACTCGAATGTTTCCTGAGGGAGGATGGGTATGGCTGCGACGTAGGAGTGGGGTTGAAGGGAAGACATTGTGTTCAAAGTGACGATGATTTCGAGAATTCCTCTTGTTATCGTCTCTTGCCGCAAGGCCGAATCTCTTGGATAAGATCTGAATACCTAATATTGTTGGGGACGGAAAAAACAGTCAGGAAGGTTCCGTGAAATGAAAGTGTGTGTGAAATATCATATTCGCTGAGGCTCAAAGACGCGGGGTACATGGGGGCACCGGAGCCCGAAGCATGCACAAACAGAGATCTTTGGTAACACTTTTCATATCTGGAAATCTGGGACGTCTGGAAACTCAAGATTAGGACACGGGGTCGGTGGATCTCCACATTCAATTGTTCAGATTCCAGAGATCTGCCAGAGCCCACCGGACACAGGGATGGTAAAAGAACAAGTCAATGTCACTGATGACCATTGGATAGAAGCGTAGACTATACATAGCTGGCAAATCAAAGAGAGAATTGGGTACGAATGAAGGGTCAGAACCCAGAAAACTGTCAAGGCCTGAGAGTCAGATCCAACTGGCTGAGATCTAGTGATAAAGAGGTGAGCTCCTGGCAGAGCACACACTGCGCATAGTTATATGAAGCAGCCCCTGAGAAAAGGAAAAAGAAATGAACAAGACATGTGGAAAACAATTAATGTTTGAGTACTTTGAGCTGTTCATAATTCATGAGTCATTTCTCAAGGTTTTACGATGCGTGCCCACGGCCAAGTTTTAAAAGGAAAGGGCTTCTTACTTATATGACTCGAGCTGAGAAGCGAGAAGTGACTCAGATACAACAGAATTCTGGAGGTGATAGAAGGGAGATTTTAAATGAATCAAATGAACCGCTAAGATTCCAAACTTCGATATCGAGGATGCTGGCTTCTGTCACTAACTCCCATGTATGTGGTCAAGGCATTGAGAAAAAAAGGCCAAGCATGACTATAAATCTAGACTTAGAGCATGCATGCGGAAACTTTGGCACTTGAACGATGAAAGTTGGTACACCAATTTTTGACTTACGGAGAGCATATATTCATCCTCAAGATGTCGACCAAAAGCAATTAAATTATTTAGAGGTCCACATCAGTATCTTCTTGGAATTGATAGTAGAACCTACTTTTGGAGTTTCAGGAATACCAGGGACAGGGAATACTATTAACGTACAAACCAACTCCTGAATACGTTAAATGCACATTTTCTCGGCATCGGGAAACCAGCCTACAGATAATTATATGCTAATTTAAGGAACTTATTGCTAAACACGCTAATGTCGCTAATTCACACTAATTTATGCTATTCGCTAACGTCCTCATAAGGTTAGCGCTAATTTCCCTCAGTTTTCAAGAAGTTTCTACTCAACGCAGCAACTTGAAGGATTCTGTTGTCCACCAGCAAACGTCTTTGGAGGAGAAAACCGTTATTAAGTTGGAATAAAACCATATCAGTGATATGAATTGGATATGAAGGTTACCAATCACTGTTAAAAGCCGAAAGGCAAAGAATGCAAAGGGACTCGGACTTGAGTATCTGGGGCCCGATTAAAGCTTTGAGAGTGCAGAAAGGACTTAACAAAATCAGCCGTCGACACGCAGGACCCGGGCGATACTTGAATAGACTCGAAAAGCCGTTCGGAAAAAATACGCGATCGCATATCAGCGGAGCTTCAAATGTTTTGAAAAGCTTCGCTGGCAACTCGCTGGC